ACAGCCCACTGACAGCAGAGAATCTGCAGCCTATCACACGGTCAGTCCCAGGGTCAGAAACGATCGATTCCACACGGCTGCTTCTTCGTAAGCTGACGGCTAATCAAGGCAGTCAAGTTATTTTATGAAACCGAAGGTTCGCAACAGCTCATCACTATCTGCTCTCCTGAGCCAGATCAGTCCCGTCCACACCTTGCCAACCCACTTCCTAAACATCCACTTTAATATTATCCTAATATTTACGCCTAGGTATTCCGGGTTGTAGCTCCCTTCACGCTTACCAACAAAAACAGCGTATGAATTCCGCTGTGCGTTGCTTGCATCAGCGTTGGACAGAGCGCGGCGATCTTAAATAAATAGAAATCAAATCAAAACTTCAGTCCGACAAAAATGGCTGCCTGACCACACACGTGTCTGGCAAAGTCGAGAATCGGTGAAGTTTGGTGTCTCGTATCATCGAAATAAATCGTACCAATAAAAACTACGAAAGCATAAGTGATTCCAAACTGCATCAATTGCATACTTAAGTAACGTAATGGATAGGTTCCTTAGTAGGCAATAAAGATGTACGATGTAAGATTACCGATTTCATTGATAAAATGCAATTTGAAGGCCACATAATAATAATTTTCATTTCGTAAATTACAACGCAAAGTTTGCCGAAAGACGTCTGAGGCGAAGGAGACATATTTTTTAATCGTTCATTAGGCAGGTTAACACAGGCAATTACAGCTGAAGAAACATGTAAAGTATCAGGCTACTAGAACTAGCAACTAGCGGGTAGTGACATCTTTAACGCTCGATACAAGCTACGGCTTCTTTTGTCCCATGTACTGGCGGTTAACCCAGCGACCTGCCCTGCTCCAAGCGGCCTAGTGTGGAAGTTAATTACTAGTCCATAGTCTTGTACTCTGACTGCATCTCTCTGTACGTGTTCACTTACTGCACGCACGCACGGAATATTTCACATAAGAAACACTGCTTTGATGAGAGATAAATATTCATTGTATGAACTTTGCCATTATTTAAACAGGTTTCGTTCATCCACAATTCAATTTAAAACGTTTACTTTAACTGTCAATCAGTCTCATCAGATATGCATCTTAACAGTGCACGATTACTTTACGTACAAGCAATCTGGTTTCATTTGAGTCCAATAATTAGAATTGCTGTACAACAATGGTCTCCAGCATTGGGTTTCGTGTTTGAAACATAATGTTACGGAGTAATAGGTTCAAACATTTCTAATTGTTAGAACCGATTATTCAACAAGAATGGAACTTTGGATCACATTGGAACAAAAATGATCTAAGGTAAATCTTAACGAATTATTGGGCATGAAACATCAAAGCAAAAACGGTCTAAGACGCAACACTGGCTCTGGTGCGAGAATTACGCAGGACGCAACAATACATTACTGCAAGAACGGCGTATAGTACGTGAAGTGGCGTGAAGAACGACACCTTTTCGAAAGCTGGTGTACTTAAGAGAGTTATCACATGTTGTCTGGTATGCATTATACGTTCCCGCAAAGACTGAGGCACAGAAGGAACACAGCCCTGTCCTTGAGGCAGCCTCAGAAATGAAAGCCAACAAGCGTGGGGTCGGCAGACCGTGGTGAGAGAGACTGCGTTCAGATGGGGCGTGTGCCGTCATCACCTCGGAAGCCACGTCGAACAGGCATAAACAGCAATTTGAATGGTGGGCCACTGCTGTTGAGCAATTAGTTGTCCAACACGTGACCTGAATAAAACGTTGTACGCACGTCTTTTAATCTGTGTACTAATTTGAGGTAACGCAGTACAGTTTCTATGACAACTGGGAGGGAAAAAATCTGTTTTGCAACTAGCATATTAATTCATTTTCCGTTTCCCTCTGGATACTAACAGCTTGTCTGCATACGTTTTGCAAAGAGGTATTACTAAGCCCCAGCAAAGAACGACTACTTCTCATCACGTGAGCTTTTTGTGACAACTTAAATCCCTCTTTATTAATTAGAATTCACTCTACAACAACACAGTATTCATCGCAAATTCAGAAAAAAAAAATTCTGTCATACCCAAGGCGCAACAAATCAGAGCACGGGTTCAGTCAAATCAAAAAAACGTCAATTACTTCATATCCCCTACTACATGATTTTAATTACGTTTTCAGCGTGGGTGATTTTGACGTCTCATGACATAATCTCGCATTTCCATCAAACAAAGGTGTCAATTTATATCACGAATAGACAGACAGCCATGTTTAGAGGCGTCGATGCAATTAGATGTGTAGGCCGTGCGTTCCACCGGCCCCTGAATCAGACGGATGAGACCCGGCGCTTTGCGTCGCTGTTTCCACCGACGGGTCAAATGGGCGGGATATGTAGCACGCACGGAGTGACATTAAAGCGTATCGGAAGCAATGACCGTAATTCGGTTTCGACAATGGCCAGCAGACACCGCTTTTGTTGGCACGGTATTGATTCTTGAGCTGTGTGCCATGAAGTTGCTATATGACAGGAGAGGTTTCGTCATTCAACGACACCGTTCCAACTGTTGAACTTATATTGGCCTATCGGAAGTATCGAGTGGTATGGAAAGATGATCATAAATTTTAGGTAAGGATCTTGAAGGAGGTGGCCATAGCGTAGAATAACCGAATAAAATTACAATTTAGAATATCGGGGGCCAAGGTCGAGATTCATTACCAACTACCTCAGGAACACAAGTTTAATCTCGTCTTAGTTGTTCGGTGTCAATTTACAATGTCGTTGGAAGATGCTAATAACGGGCATGTCTGAGCGATCCTCTTAAATGCTGAGTGCAGAGTCGTGTAGCAGAGAGCGTCTTTCTGTCCCTTGGTACTGCGTTTCGCGGTGCTGCCTCACGTGGCATCATGCAAGCCCCTCGGCTGAACTCACCCCCCAGCGCCCGGTAAGAAGCACTTCCCACTTCCTCAGGAAGACCGAGAGACTTCCATGAATTCTTCATCGCCTTTCTCAGTGTCACGCTGAACCTGTCGTTCGGTAATTTCAGTTCGCTCGACACTAAAGATGCATTTTATTCGCGTCTTACATTAAACCGGGTGCCTAAGTCTACTTACAAGTGAGTATTTTGTTTGAAGGGGATTTTTTTCATTTAACTGCTGGCAGCAATGACCCAGGAATTTAAAGCAGCGTTAGCATTTCAAAATAATAACTGCCAGAAAAGGTAATATTATTCTTATCTGTACTGTAAAGTTTTCAAACGTCAAAAAATCATGGGAGATGGGAACCAGTCAGAATATTTGAAGTCGAAATTAACTGAAATTTATTTCCCGATTTACGATCTGCCACGATTTAAGAACGACGTTCATAATCACCTGGGGTTCAACGCTAAACAACGAAATGCAAGGTATCGATCTGTTGCCTCGAGATGCTGATGCGTATTTATAAGGTGGCTGTTTGTAGCTGCGGGTGCCCTGACCTGGCCCACGTACGGCACAGCCGGCATTTGGCTCTGTCATCGCGGCAACTGACCGTCTTCTATTTCGCTGGGGCACTTGGGCGGAATGACCGAGCAGATGCTGGTAGGAGTCTGCACAGGTAAGGGGACGGAGGCAGGAAACGGTCCAGCAAAATCGAGTTGCAAAGAAACAGCACGAAGAATGAAGGGGCTAAATAGGAGAGATTAAATGGAAAGTTTGGTGTCACAGAACGAAGGCGTAATAAAGAAAATGAAGAAGAACGAACGGCATTGAGATAACAGCAGTAAATAAATTAACATGAGGCACTTATATCATCTGAGAAAAAGCGAATATTTTTGTCTTGATATGACTTTGATCACGGGAGTGACAAGTTCACGGCAGTGCGTGTCACTTGGGAGTCGCATCGACTAAGCCATATTTCCCCACTCGTCCTCCACCGCAGTTCGCTAAACCAGAGGGGTCTCTTTGCTCGTGCACATCTGACATAATTAGTACCCTCCCCCCCTCCGGTTTGCACATGTCAAGGAAACGTTGAATATTTTAAAGCCCCGTCCAGGAATGAATAAGATGAAGCCAGAGGAAACGAACACAAGAATCGACTGCATTTCCTTCCGTCTTCCCACGTCCTTCGTTTAGTCCTTCATCTAGAAAACCCTGTAACAACAACCTCGCTCCTGTGTTTCTTACGCCACAAGCGAATGATTATGCTATGAATTCAGTGCCTGTCGGTCCGTCCGCATAAATGCACTTTTACGCATCGCAATTCAACCGATTTCCATTAAATTTCGTTCTGCGGGTTCTACGAAAGTCGCCGTCGGGTTAATTTCATTTTGGCCTGAATATGGCCGTCTTCTGGGGTTGTTCCGACGTGAAGTCTGGTAGAAGTTTAGAGACGTTTCAGAGTTCCCTGCTGAGCAGTACAAATGACTGATCTCGCGGTCATACGGTATTTTTCGCCCTTCTTCATATTCGGTTAAATGTTCTCTCGAGCAACTTCAATCTATGTTCTTCTCCTAAAGTTAAAGACCTAGTTTCTCACCCGTACAAAACAAAGGGGAAGATCACAGTTTTGAACATTTTAATATTCACGTGCTGTCACCACGGAATGGCCGGGCTGCGGGTGGAGCAGACGACTTGCGAATATCGAATGAGCAGTCGCCGACAGCCGACAAGGGGTGTTTCTTAAGCTTGGCGGTTGGGCCGGGGCTAACAGCGCTCCACCTTAAAAAACAGCATGTTTCAAAATATTACATGCGTGTATTGATATTATCTTGAAGTTGCTATGTAGTTGTTACAACGCGGTTACATCAATGACAATGACGATCAAAATGCGTACAAATCAAGCGACTCTCAATCCACAATTCCAGGATTTCCAGACTCGACGTCTTGAAGCGACCAACTTTGCTACGTGTCAGCGGAAGTCGTGAACAAAGCCAACACCGCCGGAGAGAAGATCACACACAGCGCTGTTATAAAAAACAAATGAACAAAGCCACTGCGTAATAACAACTGACGGCGCAGTTGCGTGTGGACGCAACGCACTCTGTACTCACATCGAGAAGGTCCATTAGGGACGCGCGCGTGTCAGGGTCGGGCCGAACCATGGACTGCAGCACAGCCTCGAGGTCGCCCCCGGTGACCTCCTCACTCTGCACCGCCCTCTGCAACGCCGTGCCCAGAGAGAAGATCAGCGCCTGTGGAAGGAAGCAGGAACACAAAATTGAAGAAAGCCATCTTTGCTGCTCAGACGAAGAGACGGATGGACAGCGCCGACCCCTCGATGTGTCGCGCTGTAAACGGGACAGGGGACACACGCGTTACCTAACCCAAACGACCAATAACATTTAACGGATCATAACGACGTTACACAAGATTTCACTGATAATCTTGCACTGAGGTCATGAAAGATGACGTCGGGTAGGGGTCTGATGCACGAATCGAAATTTTAGAACTTTACCCCGCCCCGAAGTTCGCCTTCAAATATGTTGCCCGCACCCCGATGACGTAAACTCGACTGCCTTTTGTTTCAGTCCGATCTATTTACAATCTGCCCCGATTATCGTTGTCATTAAAACATTTTTCTTTTAATGCGTAAATTTGAGTAATCCTCGAATGGATTATTTAGCGACGCTCTAACAACATCTGAGGTTTAATTTGGCGTTTGTGGAACGGCACAAATATGGCGGATGGACAGTCTGGAAGGCTTTGTTTAATCGCGCAAAGGCTGTGGACCAGTGGCTGGACTAATTTGGTTCTAAAACTACGAGACATGAGGATGGCGACAAAAACAAAAATCAGAGAAAGTGCACGCACGCACAGAACATGGCTATTTGTTGTTACACACGGGAATGTTATTTTTTACAGACGCGTAGGAATTTCTTGTAATTTCTAACAGATGCATCAAACACGAACGCATAGAAGCCTACGACTGTACAGGATTTTGACCTTTGCTAATGGTATCAGTGACGTTAGAGGTGTGCAATTGCAAAAGTTGAACAGCAGTGACACTTAAATCGTCATGTGAAAAGGAAAAGCGAATCAAGTTGTTTTTGTGGTTTTCAAAGTCAAAAATCTTCAAGTTTATTTTCTATCCATTACCTCCATCTTGTCCCTAAATCCCTTATATGAGGGGAAAGAAGGGAAGTTGAATATGGCAGCCCCCGGCGAAGTGAAAAAGGGGCAGAGCCCCCGTCCCCTTCAACCGCTAGATTCAAAAATAAACTTAAAACGGTAGCAGTTAAATTGCCGATCTAAATTAAGAACAAGGTAGCTCACACAATTTTGTAAAAACAAAAAATAAATCACTAACAAGAAATTTACACTTTCTAGAACTGTTCCAGGCGTCTGGACTAACAAACGGACGGGTCAATTTTAACAGGCTCTCCATGAAAGGTATTTTATTCAATTATTTGGTGCATTCATTTTATTAGTCATTAAAATACAAAACCCTGATGGAGAAAAATTGACCGGCTATAAATCACACGCCCTGTGCACGCGTGTAATTAAGTACACGTGTACCGCCCGGGACATGCGTTGCACAGGGACTTTCTCGAATCGCCCTCAACTGTGACCACTTACATTGGGCACAGAAAGATGCAACCTAACAAGTACAGACAAACAGCTCACATAATCTTCGGAACTCGAAGTGATACGAAGTAAGTACACTTCTTTTCCGCTGTCTTGCACTTGTCACAGTTGCCACAGATCCGGAAGAAGTAGGCAACTCCGAATACTACCTGGAAAAGAACAGCCTTCTTCGGCCATGTTACAACATGCTGAACGTCTGAAATTAAGATCTGTGTTACAGATTCACGTCGATTTACGGCATAGCTTAACGAAAACTCTGTTGTGTCTCAGGGTATTGAACACTGCTGTATCAACGGCACAAGCTATTCATGATCGAATTACGTCCATCCGGGGATTTACGAAAGTAATTTGTTCGACGAAATTTTTTCACAAGCTGAAAATTCGTAAATTGAAAATGAAATCACATTAATTTCAAAGTAAACAAATTCCCACTGGTTTCCGGCTCCCAGAAAGAACACCAAATACCATTTTCACACACGTTAGAATACAAAACAAACATGAGAATAGGAACAGAATTATTACATCTTTATGATAGTCTTTACGTATTTAAATGTCGTGATCGAGTGTTTAGCACTCCTGGGTACCGCTATCCTAAGTGGGGGAATTTTCGTGGTTTTAATCAGTCCATCCAGGAAAATGCCGGGATAGTACCTTATATCAGGCAGCGACCGGTTCCTTCCACATCCTTTCCAATTCATTATCATCCTCTCATTCGACGCTATATACTAAAAACCGTAGTTAAAAAACTAAACTATAAATATTTACGTATTTAACCCTGTAAAGCTATGCTGAAGTGTAAAATCAAACATCGTAATTTGCTGTATTCCTCCGCGTTCGTTCGTTGTAGCAAAAACTCGTGAGTCAGAAATTCGCAAATCAAGTGATAGGCGATCCTATAAACGATAACTGCTTCATTTGCAAGGCGAAAACTTGGAATGAAGTTACAGTCGTCGGGGGAATCAGAGTTGCGGACAGACGACCTTCCAGGAGTAATTTGGGAAACCGGTCGATGCTCCTCTGGCCGCGGGCGGTTTGGTCCAGATTTATCTGGAAGAAAAGAAGTCGTCACTTGCACTACGCGATGACTAGAGGGCACGACTCGGTTCTCAACTGCTGATGACCGCTTGTCGGAAGGAAGGTGGTTCTCATTTTTGGCTAACACTATCAGCAACGATCAGCTTTTGCATCATAACATTCCCAAGTTCGCCACATTGCGGATGAGCCCGAGGTCCATATGCACAGTTTTCACGTGATACAAAATATCGTCTTAGAGATGGAAATTTACGTGGTTCTAACATACTCATGTCAGCAACCGAAATCTTACAGACACGATAATCGCTTAAGATTTTTAGGAAACCATTCACCAAAAATATGACGCACTTCCCGGTTTTATCGACGCCACTTCAACTTTATTACGCATTTTCGTATAACTTTAATACCTCTTTATCTCGATTAACTGTGGCCATGAATGTTGGGATCAAATAACAGTACAGTCGTAGTTTGTGTGACCATGCATCAACTAGCTAAAGGGATATGGCGAGCAGCAACAGAAGACATTATCATTTGTGAATATTAATAGACCTTGTCCTATAGCTGGCAGGACAAATGGGAATTAATCAGTGGTTAACAAAACAGAAGCATCTGCAAAACAAGGGCGAAATCCCTTCAGTGATCAGGTACAAAGGCTGCCATTAAGCACATGTACGTTACAGTAAGCTCAATTTTTGATTTCAGTGACAAATTTAAATGAACAGGGAACTTGGGCCGTAAATCAGATGACGTGCTGATCACATTTAGCACGCAGAAGAAGCGTTTGAGTAAATTTCGAATGAGGATGGACGCCCGAGGTCTGCAGGAGGCATCCGGGACTGACTCTGAAAAGGACAATTCCTTTTTTATCAGAAAAGCGGGCAACACGGATTTATCTCCAGCGTTATTCTTTTCTTTTCTTTTGCGTCCCGCTGGCTGTGGATTGCCCCACTGAAAAATCTGATGATCAGGTTTGTTACGCAGCAGCCCTAAGGATGAGAGCAAAGATTGTTCTCGAAACGTTGGCAGACGATATGGTTTATTCACCGATCAGCCACCTTACGCGGCTTGTAACCCGAGAGTCTTTCATAGCCGAAATAACTGTTTACATTCGAGACAATTTCTCCGACAAACAGGGCGCTATGAATAGTCAAGAACTCAGAATTAAACTGAAGCTGTGAAACCATAATAGTAGCGTGCGATCAGTTACGAAGAGTAAAGAAGCCCACCGCCAACAGAGAAGCGGAGCGCAAAACTGATCCCACCAAGCAGCCAGCGGACAGGGACTCATTCAGTGGCAGCTTCGAATATTCCACACAACACAGCGCCCTCAGGGAAATAAACAGTCGACGAACTGAAAGCACGGAGCACAAAGATCGCGTTTGTGAGGGTGTGGTGCGGAGAACATGGTGGCCACGCAGTCCAATTCACTTTTTAAAAAGAAATCACACCAGCGGTGTACAGTCGTCCTGCCCCGTCGCAGGGAGCAATGTTTAAGGACATGCGGGGGGGTAGAGGCTTTAAATCCCAAGTACGAGACATGGAGTGTGCCTCTGCAGAAACTTACACGGATTACGTATAGTTTATAAGTCACACAGAACTTACGGCTCGTTTAATTCGTCTCTCAGCCGCCAGAATTCGTCGCGTCAGCGTCTTCAAACGCGAGCTGCTTATCGCCCCGTTCATCACGTCAAGTGTAACTCGACTCTCGTCTGCATATAATCTGATACTTCAGTCCGTACCGCAAAGAAAACACAAAACACAACCATTACAAAGATCAAAAGGATGACGATTATCTGGAAATAATCATTGTTCTGCAGTGAGAGTCTCACGAAACCCATAGTACCTGACTGTTGAACGAGGTGGTACATATAGTTACCACTGGGCTTCAAACAGTTAACCGGCAAGCAGAACGGCGTTGTACCACTTACGATTCATTTCATTCGACCTACGAAAACTCGTCAGACAGCTCGGAACAATTTTACTTCACCACAGGCATAGCGCCACAAGTAATTTTCTCTAGTCCTCGGCGTACCGCCGCCGAGTGGTGGGGATTGCTGAAAGGCAGAACCAGAGACCAGAGGATCTCGCTGACGCCGTCCATAAGGCTCAGTTCCATCTTACACGTCGCGTAGGACACAGCAATCGGACTTGCAATCTTAGCAGATTTAATTTCTTAAGGCCGACGTTCACGAAGTAATTCCCCAGGGCAAAGAGGAAACCCGTGTGAGAAGCAGAGGGAATGGATTTCTCCCGATTCGCTGTACTTTCACGGCGCCAGAGCAATTACTTACATCCATTCTCTGCAGAAACGCTCTGCTATCGTGCAGCAAAGTTCGTAGAGGCATTCAACCACAGATTACTGATGTCGTCTCGACGTGCTCCTCCCACCCCACCACTCCCCTGGTAGTATCTTACTGTAGTATTACTAAGCACGCGAAAAATCCGAAATTCTTGTTTTAGTCTTACCAATATTCACCTTACCTGAAGTAGCAGGAGAAAAACCCCGATGTGCAGACGGAAGACAAATTTGTGCACCCCATTAGCATTAAGAAACTAGAAAAATGCGGCAAATAAT